ATGGTGTACCTGGTGGAAGAGAAAGAAGGTGACACCTGGAATTAAAAAAAGAAACAAACGCTGTCTGATGTTTGCAGGAACGATTCACATAAGCAAAAAGGGTTTGCATTCAGGATGTGAGTCAGATAAATACCGGGGGAAATAACAGAGGAAGAAGAAAGATAGCACAAGGACATAAATTATATAGAGAAATAGAAAAAAGTGACAGAAATCACTTTTTAAAATGTGCTCCCACAGGAACACCGGCAGGTTAACTCGACAATAAAACGAATGAAGATAGGCCAAGGAGACCGTCTTTATTTATTTCACCCGCCTCGTTTTTCTGTTTATGTTTCTACAGTTGGAAGATTTGGTCTCATATTATTACATGTTAAGTATATTAAATCTCAGACTTTAGTTTATAACCTGTTAAAAAAAGTTAACCAATGAGTTCAGAGCATATTGTGTAGATGACCTCATAATTAAAATAATCATTAGTTGCCACCATCATTTCATACAATTATTTTCCACCATGCTTAACAGCAGGACTCTGTTTCTTTGGTTGTTTGGAATCCTTAACATCAGCATTTTAAACACCTCCATGTTTTTCTTCTGGAGCCAGCAGTGACCGTAGTTGGACTAAAGGGTGACCTGCTAACTGATCAACTAAGTCTAATTACATCCAAGTACCAGTCCTATAAAACGCAACAATCAGACACATGTGGAGCACAAACCTTTTCAGACAGGATTCATCTGCAGTTAGAGGCTGCCTGTGTTTGCGCTGGTCGATGAAAGTGGCCGTGATCCTGACAGTGATGGCTTTAAAAGCATTTATCGTACTAGGCTCTAATCATATTATTTTTCATGTCTGCGCATGTCTGTTTGACAGGTTGCTGTAGTTTTACAATTTCACTGGCAGCTGGAAGCCGGTAAGCTACTGTAAACCTTTTACAGTAAAGCTCCTGTGAAGACGGCAAATTTCATTGTCTTTGCATCATTTCCAGTGACGTTACTCTAAATGGCATTTACAGAAAAACCTTCCCTTGCTGTAAATGTAATGGAATTGGAGTAGTGAAGACTTACTTTAATGAGACAATATTTTCCCACAATTCTTTGCCATTTATGATTTACATTCAAATTACTGCCTGTAGCTATGGCAGTGTCATAGTATTCAATCAGCAGAAATGAGCTACAGTGAGACTTTTGGAGCAAACTTTTTGGGGAAGTACAATTTTTTTAATTTGCATTTTTCAACCCCAACTTTTTTGAAAAGTACTCTCATCCCAGATCATACTCTCTCTGAAACATATTTAAATCTTAATATGACCACAATTTACACAACAATCATCACATTGTGTTAAATAAGACTGTGATATGAGTGTGATATGAGATGCAGGGTGACTCAAGATTTCCAGAGAAAGTTGCTCTCTGCTGGTCTTTAGGTCTGGAAGCTTCTTCCATATTTCAGAGATAGAAAATTAAAGTGACATACCCTCTGTTGTGCATTCATACAACGTGGAGCTGATTTATCATTATTGGGATTCAATTGAACTTCTAAAACAATGTTGCCACATCTTATCTATACGTCTGTAACCAAAAAAGATGTATTGTACAGAGATATGAGGATGAGCTCTTCCTCCGAGCCTCCATATTTCTGTCAGTGCATCTGAAGAGGACAGCCTCGGCGCCAGGTTTCTGCAAGCTAGCTGGGAGCCAGATTTAGCTCACAGATCAATAAAGTATTCATACAGTACGGAGGGATGAGGACGGCATAAAAAGCCCCTTTTTGATGTATCGCTGCAGTTACAACGCTGAGTGCCTGGACTGTCAATGAGAAGGAAGAGGGGAAACACCACCGCAGGAGAATAGAATTAATGAAAGCTTCAAATGCTCTTGAGGTTATGGCAATAATGTCACAGTGGTACAGAAATTAAAAATTCAACATCAAAGTGATGGAATACATTTTTAATCTTGTGCTGTGGAGTTCAGTCTCTCTGGCTGAGAAACAGAATTTGAAAGCTTTAAGTTAGTTAAGGGTACACGAGAGATTGAAAGGCCAGTGAAAGAGGCTCTCTTGGTTCTTCGTGAGCCATCTTTGACTTTTGTGTTTTTAAAAGCTGATATTTAAATCATCTTAATCGTATTCTAACATTGGCTCGACTAAAGGAAACCTCCTTCTCTCTGGTTTGCACAAAAAGTCACAAAACTCTCGCCTCCATCTAGTTCAGAGTGCAGCAGCAGCTCGGCTTCTTTCTGGTTTTAGCAGATGGTATCACATCACCACAATCCTGGCTTCTCTCCACTGGCTCGAAAATGGGTTTGAAAATTGAAAAGATGGTTTTCAAAGCATGTCTGTGTCTGGGTCGAACTTATCCATAACAGAATTAACATAAAAAACAAAGCGAACCATGAGGTGTAAAAGTAATACTGTTAATGCTTCCTTTATTATCTTATTTAGCAGAGGATACACTAGACCATCCTTTATGAAAGGAAAGGAGATAATGTCCCCCCGCAGTCGATGGCAATGCACCATCACACCAAACAACATGAATGACAAGCAGTGCACATCATGTAAATGTTAATTATAAGTGTGCTTGCCATTGTCTGCCATAGCTGCTGATATGTTTTGAACCTCAACAACAGGCTGTTAAACCCACAGCTGATCTCTGAGCATCACAGCGTGGTGATAAAATCTGCTTTTCTATTTAGTGTTACTTTAGTTGTTGCTTCATTGCCAGATTTTAGGATTTTTAAACACCATGACAACAAGCATCAATCATCAGTGTGAAGGTTGACCTCTAAATTCAGATTCAAGTAAAAGCACTAAAAAAGCAAATAAACAAACCAACTAAACAATCATTTCAACCTATTAAAAGTTAAATACCAAGAGTGTTTGTGGCTTATTGCACATAGCATCTGTGCCAGTATAACATACTGTATAGGCACATTCTGAGTGATAGTCCAGTCACTGCTTCTGTATCTAATGCACATAACCACTTTTAACATGCATGGATTTAGAAACAGCATTAGCGTTCACATGCTTTTTTTCTTCATGTTTTAATTCTTGCATTTAAACAGAACAAAGGTCCAGAAACAACCAGCAGAAAAGTGTTGGCTGCAGTGGCCTATTTAGAAGAATACCATGTAGTCAAGCTGTGTTTTTTCTTTAAGTGTCAGGTTGCCCACAGAGGAGCATCCTTCCTGCATTAGCACTGAAAGATTTTCCGAGATCTCTCTCCTGGGATACAAGAAGCAGCAGTAAACAGCAGCGGTAGAAGCCTAAAAAAGCTTTGCCAAGGTCAGACTGATGGCTAAAACCCCTGCTCAAAACCTTTTCTCTAGTTTCTTTATTGAAAGAGATCAAAGTTTTCAAAGTATGTTAACTTAAATAGATCAGTGATCGGAAGGGTTATGAAGGCAACATCATTTTTACTTCGATCTCTTTCATGTATTAATGTATACATGTGTTTAATTGTTGGGGGTCTTACTGTCTGAACTGCATTTATACAAACACAGTCATTAAGTATTCATTATATATCATGATGCAGAAAAATACACAAACTCAAAGATTACTGTAATAAAGGAAAGAAGTAATACCGTACGCAGTAGCACCAGTGTTCGTTTGATTACATTTTCCACTTTATATATTTTTCTTGGACTCTAATAAATTAGCTTTGCATGATTCCTCGATCAAAATAATCCTTTTTGATTTAAAGTGGACCTCAGTGCATCCTTTAATTTCATTCCAGTTTAGCTCCCCACCTTTAAACAAGCTCTCCTCTGATTGGCTGCCCCCCATAAACAGCAAGTTTGAACAGAAGGTGGGTGGAGCTTCTCTGCTCAAGCTACATGACAAATATATCACCTTCTAATGTAACATCTGCCATAAATTCATGATGTGAGGAATAAACTGATACTAAAACATTTCAAACAGGATCAAGCCCAGTGATTATAGCACCTATTCTCAGAGTTGTACTATTTAGCAAATGTTTTGAAAGGCATGTTGCATTTGTTGGGAGCTTTCTCTGTAGTAAATTAACAGATTGTTGGTGCCGTGGAGAATATTCCTGGCTGCAGGAGGCTGTGTGCAGGAGTAAAATAACAGAGCTTTCAAAGTAACAAAGGAAACTGTGAGCCAGCGAAACAGAGAGGGAGAAATCGGCGTGAAGAAAGAAAAAATAAGATCTATCGGGCTTTGATTCACAGTACTTGTTTGTATGATCAATGCCTCGCTAGTTTTGTTGACAATGAGAAAAATATAGAACATCACCACGAAGCCAGAATAAATCAGTAGATTCCAGTCTGGATAAAAGCAGCGACGAACTGATGCATTATT